CAATAGCAGCCGTAATCATATCCACTCCCCATTCCTCAGATGTGAACATGCAATTGCATGATAGGCAACCATCAACCTTTCCCACTCACATAACTTAGCCACCAGCTAATTTACCCTCTTCTGGCCTTGTCCGATCACAAGGGCTAGGAAGCTCCCCTTTAAGACCCTCTGCAGTATCTCAGGCTAGGAAAAGGACCAGGCTCTACCTCTACGGTAGTCATTTGCTGTTGGGCCTTACCAAATTACCACTGTCCTGGTCCCCCATAAAAGGGGAAAGAATGACTGCGACCTTATGGATATTAATGGGCGTCCTGGCCACTGCTGCTGCTACCTGGACAGGGTGAAGCACCTGAAATTCCAGCAAGCCCCCCCTGATTGTGAGCTTTGACTGACAAAGTCCAAATTGAAAGATTGGATTGCTTCCATACACCTCTGTCTCCCCCTTCCTCCTCCTTCTACAAATCACTTCAGTCTTGTTCGGACTGAATCGCAGCCAGCCCAACCTTATCCAAGCCCCAATTTAAGGGGCTTCCTCTTCTTTAGCCTGAGGCTCTTATTTAAACTGTGGCTAAATGTCTACGGCTGTGTCTACACTTGCCTTATAGCAATTGTGAGTGAACATTAAGGAAAATGCAACAAAGAGTCCTGTGGCACCTTATAGACTAACAGATGTATTGGAGCGTAAGCTTTTGTGGGTGAATACCCACTTCGCCAGATGCATGGCATTCACCCATGAAAGCTTATGCTCCAATACATCTGCTAGTCTTTAAGGTTCCACAGGACTCTTAGCCATATTTGTTGCTTTTTACAGATCCAGACTATCCCTCTGATACTTAAGGAAAATAACTCTCTTGTTCTGTGGCTACCAGTATAGAGTAGAAGAGAGATACTGAATCTCCTCATTGGATTATGGATCCTATCCCTGATGAGCACTGACATAATTCCAGCACTCCATGTTAGTCGCAGAAAGGGTTTTGTTTCTTTTTATTTCTCTTTAATCTACCTTCTAAGGGAAAAAAGATATTTTTAGAGTAGGAAACAAAATCAAGGTGAACACTCTTTGCATTGTAACTGGCTTGTCTTATCACAAAGGCAATTAAGGTTGGAGGATTAGTCTTCACTTTGAACTTTCTGACCACTGTCAATTAGAGTTCTGATTCAGGAAAGTTAAATGTGCTTAAGTGCTTCCCTGGATACAAATGCTTTCCTGAATTGGGGCCCCAGTGTTTAAAAACTCGCATATATGCATCACTATAAAATCAGGGTGTAGTTTACTTAGGACAGGACAAATACAAAACACTTCTCAAATGTTGAATTCAGAGGCCTTTGGGAACATGTACATATGACTCCCACGGCTGCAAACTGACTTCCCTGAAGTTGTCCTATGGTAAATGATGATATATTTGTAATTCTCTATTGGAAACTTACCCTATTGCATCACAACTTTAAGACTACTTAAAAAAAATAACGTGTATCTAGTCTTCATCCTCCTCTTTAAAACAAACAAAAAGCCATTAAAATTACAGTCCAGTTTAGGTAGAGCAAGTTATATAAATCTACATAAGCATTTAGAACCAGATGAAATCTAGGCTGTTCCCCTTTAGGAAAAACGTACCTTTAGTAGAAGGATGATATCACTGTTTGGTGCAATGCTGCAGTAAAACTGGTAGCTAAAATTGCCGGAGAAAGTCTGGCATACAAGCCAACAAAACAAGTGACTGCTTTCTCACTCTAGTTTTTTTTTTTTTTTTTAATAAATGGCTACTAATGCTATAACTAAGAGTCAATACTTATTCGCACCGCGACATGCTCACTCATCTGTTGCTATTCAGAAGGGACCCAGTTATGCAGATCATGCAGAATGGGCTACTCAAAGCTTTTTTTTTTTTTTTTTTCGGGGGAGGAAGGGGGCAAAATCCTGCATGCTCGGTACATTAATGGTCTATCTTTTGGGGTAATAGTAGCTGTAAAAATCCAGAATATATTTAAGTAACCAGCTTGATATTTAGCTGTAAACCAAAATGCAGAATGGAGGTAGCCTGCCCATTGGAAATATGACAGCATTCTAAAATGACTTTTTCTAGACCGCATTCCTCTAATTCAGTGACTGCTCAGTCAGTTGCCGTGTTGCAACAACACCGTCTTAATGTAAACTTGTAACTGTCAGAAAAGCCTGCAAACTATTTTAATAAACCTAAGTAGACACACACTATTTTGCTATTGATTGTGAATGCCCAGAAATAAGTGGTTTTGTTAATGTAAGAGGGCCTAAAATACCTTGACACCAGTTCCTCTATATCAAAAGTAAACCCATTCTATACAGTATTGACTTATTGCATAAAATATGTCTGTATAAACACTCTTTAAAAGAAATTCTGATTATATTAATAGCTGTACTTTAAAATTCTTGAAATCTATGGATGAGGTGTTTTACACAAAGAGGGAGCACTTATATAGTGTTTGACCTTGCAACAATGGAACAGTTAGTGCTAAAAATATTGGTCAGGGACACGGATAAAAGAGAATGTCTTGTTTGATCACTCTTAGATCATTACTACAGTTAATCGCTAAACCCTTTTGTTCTGAGGCTACCAGCTATGTATATTTGTAGCAAAGGAAGTGCTTAATTCTGTCTCCCATAAAAGTAGCAGAAATGGGGTTATTTTGGTCAGTCATTTCTTAACACCTAGCCTTTGCAATGACATTTGAAATGTTATTGCAAACTTGAATCTACATCATGAATAAAATGTGATTAAATGTTTCCCTTCCCCTGCCATCCTGGCATTTTATTGTCCAATTTAAAGGGACAATCCAGCCTTCTTACAATTTTTTTTTTAATTTTGATATCTGTAATTTCCTCCTTGCTGGCCTTTCTGACACTCTCATTGTATCATCATAATGGCCTTTAAAATTATCTTCTTCATTTGTTCTGCTGACGTTGTTGCCTCCTCCTTTTGAGTCCCTCCATTGGCTTCACCTTGCTTGCTGCATCAAGTGCTTAACTTTTCATTGTTACCTTTTGGGCAACACACAGATCCATCCTGGCATAGGTCTCTGGTCTTATTGCTTATCTGATCTTCTTGTCCCCAGCCCCTCTACTTCTCCAGTGATGATAGTCTTGACCCTTGCATATCTTCTCATATCAATGCCTTTTTACATGCTGAGCCATGTGAATGGAATGACATCCTGCTTGGTCCAGAGATCATTAACTTCTCCTCCTTATTTGACTACTTTCTAAAAGCTTATTTCTCCTTTGTTGTCCACCAACTTTTGGTTTGTAATAATTAGGATCCTACCAAATTCGCGGCCATGAAAAATGTATCACGAACCATGAAATCTGGTCTTTTGTGTGATTTATTTATTTATTTTTTACCCTATACTATACAGATTTCACAGGGGAGACCAGCATTTCTCAAATTGGGGGTCCTGACCCAAAAGGGAGCTGCAAAGAGGTTGCAAGTCTATTTTAGGGGGGTCATGGTATTGCCACCCTTACTTCTGCATTGCTTTCAGAGCTGAGCGGCCTGAGAGTGGCGGCTTGTTGGCCAGGCACCCAGCTCTGAAGGCAGCACCCTGCCAGCAGCAGCGCAGAAGTAAGAGTGGCAATGCCATACCATGCCATCCTTACTTCTGTGCTGCTGGTGGCAGCAGCTTTACCTTCAGAGCTGGGCTTCTGGTCAGCAGCTGCCGCTCAGCGCAGAAGTAATGGTAGCAGTACCGCACCCCCCTCTCCCCCAACAGTAATCTTGCACCCCCAACTCATTTTTGGGTCAAGACTCCTACATTTCCAATACCGTGAAATTTCAGATTTAAATAGCTGAAATCATAAATTTATGACTCTTAAAATCCTATGACCGTGAATTTGACCAAAATGGACTGTGAATTTGGTAGGGCCCTAATAATAACACACAAACAGAAACCTGCAGTTGCTGTCCTAGATTTTTCCAGTGATTCGTACTATCTCCTGTTATGGGGGCATGGAGTGGTTTTTTCCCCCCCCTTGTACAGCACAAAGCATCTTGGGCTTAGGTACGAACACATGGGTTTTATTATGTTAACATGCATTAAACTACTGAAACTGGAAGAATGAAAACATCTACATTCTGTTTGTGTGAATTCTCTTGGTTTTACCTCTTGCACTCAGTTCAGTTTCAGCACTGAGTACACTAGCCAATATCATTTCTGGCTCATGCACTGATACATTGTGCTTCAGGGGAAATGTTTAATTCTAAACAGAAAATATTGTAATGGTATTTTTAATGGAAATGTTTCTAGTGACCTTAATCAGTTTAACACTGTGGTTAAGCTTTGTAACTTTTGGGCCAGAAGTGTTTTAACACAGAGATCTGTCATTTTAATTCACTCTTTCCTTATTAGTTTAAATTAAGGTTTCAACTTTGTTTAAAAAAAATGAGCCTTTGACTATTCACTATGAAATTAACATAACTTTAAATTCAAGTGTTGAGAACCTTATTTTACGGAAAATATCATTCTTTCTAAATTATTTTTCCTAGTACTATTGTGTACTGTGACTTCAAAAGTATGTGAGACCTATGTTTTGTGTACAGCACTGTGAGCCTCTGAAAATCCTGTTGAATACATGAAATCAGAGGGCCACTCCAAAGAATCTATTGTGGGGGCTGGAAAACTCTGCTTGTTGCATATCTATATTAAACAGCAGCAATGGAGTATTCAAAGTATATATTAAAAAAACTGTCTGGAGAACTTGCAAATAAGAAAACTGCTGCTTTAATCCAGTGTGTAAATGTAGTTTCTTGATATTATGCTATGAGTAGGTGGCAAGGTGCATCTTTTCAAGACTATATTATGGTCTGCAATGTCTTAGCAGAGAGGATGGAGAGGAGAGAAAAGACATGATTGATACAGGGAAGATAAAGAATAGGATGATGTTGTGTAAGAAGTCTTTTTACATTAGTCTGACTTATTGGTCTGACACTTTTTTTTTTTTTCCTTCTCCTCCCCCCCCACCCCCCCTTCAGGGGAGAGCTATGTGTGTGGTTCAATAGAACCTTTCAAAAAACTGGAGTACACGAAGAATGTAAACCCAAATTGGTCAGTGAATGTTAAGACAACATCCACTTCCCGTACGGTGCCGTCTCTTGCCACTGTCAAAGGAAGTCCTTCAGATACAAGAGAGAATAAGGATTTCATTAGGCCTAAACTGGTCACCATCATCAGGAGTGGTGTGAAACCACGTAAAGCAGTCCGGATTCTGCTTAATAAGAAGACAGCACATTCATTTGAACAGGTTCTTACTGATATAACTGATGCCATCAAGCTGGATTCGGGAGTGGTTAAACGCCTGTACACACTGGATGGAAAACAGGTAAGAGATTTCATCCTAATAATCTCCAGAAAACCCTCTTCTCCCCTACCCCCCCCCCCCAAAAAAAAACTTAATGCAGAGGGCAGTGAGTCTTGTCATCACTTTTAGTAACTGATATGGTAATTAGTTAATTTTGTTGCAATGGGTACTCCATGTCTGGTGTTCACTGCTGGTCTCCTGAATAAGGTTAGTGTACATTTTTTAAGTTTGAGGTTTGGGTATACTGATTTAATACAAAAAGCATAATTTTAGTAAAAGTTCTTTTCAGGAACAGTTTGCCACTTTGCCTCAAGGAATGGTCTGGTTATTTATGCGTGTTTGTAGCTCTTAATCTGCCACAAATCAAATTTGCTATGCTGGCTTTGAAAATGTATATGTCAGAAAGCCAGAATGAAGGACATGATACTAAAGTATGCTGAACTCATTTCTTTAACCTGTCTTTTTTGTTTCTTTTCTGTAACAGCATTATGAATCATTGTTCTTAGTGCCTGTAATTTCAACCGAGGACACATCGCATTGTATTGAACAGTAATATATTTGCATATAAAATGTACCTTTTTTTTACTTTTGAAGCATAATTTCACAGTCTAAACTACCCTATTGTAAAGAAGAGGTTACAAGCTCAAAAAAGGTGGGTGGGAACTTTCCCTCAGACAGAGAGCGACATATGGGGCCTGTTGATCCATGGTGCCCAAACTTGTCAACGAATCTCTTCCAGGTGGTCCAAAGTGCTGCTTCTTCATCATTCTGAAACCGTATATATTCAAGCAATTGCTAAATGTAGCCCGATCAAAACGCTGTTCAAGTTCTAGATGCTTTTTTTGACCAAGAAAATATAAATGACCACTCTCTTCTGTGTAATGTGCCCTATTGGGTTTTTTTTTTTTTCTTTTGATGTAAATTTAATCTTAAAATATTGAAGAGGTAATAAACTCACAGGAGGACAGAGGCAAACTACAGTGTGACCTGAATCAATTAGAGCAACGATGGCTGCAGGTAAACAAGGGGAGATATGGTATTTTACAAATGTTAACTCTTACCCTGAGGAAATAGCACAGATACAAAATGTAGAGATAAAATGAAGCAGAAAAAAACATTGCATTTAAAGTCTCCCTCTCTCTTGCAATAATTAGTGTCCAAATATTTTTCATGTAAGCATGCCTGTAGCTGACAGGATTGTGGGAGACGAGACTGCCTGAGAAGATTTCTATCTTGAGAAGCCGTCCAGTTTACAATATAAGTAGATGTTGAGGAACAGCACAACTTCATTGCCATCTCCAAAAGTCCAATGTACAGTAGAAACACTTCATGTAGAATGATTAGCACCTTTTTTTCTTAAGTTGGTAACTCCGTGAGACAGTACAGAGTGGAAAAGTTGGATGGTGGAAGTGAGAAGCTGTAAGAAAGAGGGTGACTTCAGGGAATGGTAATGGGAAACCATATTTTACCTCAAATAAGGGCCAAGTCAGTAGTGGCTAAAAGCCATTCCCATCTGCAGGTTAATAACCTACATGTGACACTTGTGTTGGTGATCGAAGTCCAGCTCCTAGTTTTTAAGGGTGCGCATCTGAAATATCCATCTTGCAACTGATTTGCTGGTAGTCTTGGCAGAGAAGACCAAGACTGACTGTACGTGGCATTCAGCCTGCCCTGTGGTCCCTCAGAGTTGAAGCACATGTGTGAGGAATGTAGCATAACTGCTGTCCATGGTGTACTTGTTTTGTGACATGAGGCAGCATAGTTTAAGAATGTCTACTCGTAAACTGGTATGGTGACACAGCTGCTGTAGTGCTTCAGTGTAGACACTGTTCTCCCTTTGCTGTAGTTAATTCACCTTTTTGAGAAGTGGAAGCTAGACTGATGGATGAATTCTTCTTGTCAAGGTCACAAGGCAAGTGTCTTAACCTCTTGATACCGCCTGTTATACCCTTTTGTAAAATATTATACTTGCCCACACAGGGATGTTGTGAGGGTCAATTAATGTTTGTACAGCACTCTGAGTGCTTTATAAAACATTATATAAATGCTGAGTTTTGTAGCACATGGAGAAATGCAGTATGCAGGGGTATCAATCCAGTGTGTCTTGTCTTGGTAATGAGTTCACTTAAAGTTTTTCAGCTTATTTTTTAAACTTGCTTCAAGGAAAGTGCTTTGACTCCTCATATCCACTCTCTTCTACAGTCCACACCCTTCAGAAACACAAACAACAAACCAAACAGAACCCTAGTCAAACTCTTTCCTCTTGTTTCTTAGAATACTTTGTGCCTTCTTCTGCAATCAGAGGTTTGAAATAGGACTGGCCTAGCTGCCAGACATAAGAAGACTTGGATGTTTCTAACTGTGGTGATATCACAGGTTGGCTGGATTCCTTGTCAAGCTGTGACAGCTGAGATGAATTCAAATCAATGGTGTTCCTGAGAGATTCTACGTCCAGTTCTTAGCCAGTAAACCTTGTGGCTACTGGAGCCTCCTTGAAACTGGTGCCCTGACAAACATGCCCTTATCTATCTATTTTGTTCTGTTGAAGTAGTATCGTCTACTCCCTAACCCTTGTAGAAAGCGCGGGGGGGGAGAGGGGGGAAGAAATTATGCCCCACTGTCTGTAACAGACTGTCTGCAGAGTGGATAAAGCAACTTAACTAATAAAAAGGGGAATCAGGAACAACTTGTTGGCCACCTCTGTGTAAGGGGAAGTTATTGTGTCCGTCTTTCTCCTTTCCCCCCCTCTCCCCCCCCCCCCCCTGCTTCTCTGCTAGGCAATTGCTGCTCCATTACTCTGCCAAAATCCTGTTCTCCCATATGGCATTAGGAGCATGATAATGGATTTCTTTATTGCTAAACTCACATTGTGAATGATTACTGGGAGGAAATCCATGGTAAATCCAAAATGTTTCCAGTAGTGCATACAGCTGAAGACTTCTTTTAGTGGTTCTTGTTGGGAAGGATCTAGAAAACTCTATACTATCCCTTCAATATGCAGCTAAGTCTAACAAATCTGTGATTAGATCTTCCATCACTAATGTAAAAAACAGCAAAATTGTAAAGCTCCTTGAGCCAAAAAAGTAATTTTGTATAAGGATAAGGGAGTAAGGCTCTTTTAGGATTATTCTTCTGAAATTTAGCAACAAAGAAATTCTTTATGCACAGTATTTCCTTGACTTTTCTAAAAACCCATCAGATTATGAAAGGACCACATATGAATTGCCCATCCACAAAGGTCTCTAACAAGAGTCCAACATACTCTTAGTGTTGGATGCAGGCACCTCCCTCCCCCCCCCCCACTTTCTTAGTGTCACTACAGGCCTGCCACCAGACATGAACAAAGAAGGTACATTTCTCCACCTTGTTTTGTTCACCCCCAGCTGAATGGCCCCATCTTACTTAATATGTTACAGAATAGTTTATTGTCTAATTGTCTCCAGAGATGCAGTATTTAAGTGGTAGCCTTTGAAAATTTTAGAGATGCTGGATTTTGAGGAGTTTATTCTTGGGTTGAGAAGGGTAGCAAAGCTGGAAGTCTGGAGGCCATTTATGCCCAAGAACCTAGTTGTATAACTTTTGTAACATAGGGAACTCTCTTCCTACATCTGTTTTTCCTTTTCTCCCCTTGGTTTTGAAAACCCTAATTCTTGGCACATAACACATTTTCAGTTCTGTTCAGGCCACTCATTGTTCCTCCTTTGCAGCACTCTTTCTGTGGTAGATATTCCTGTTTACAAAGATGGAGAAGCTGAGGCACAGAGAAGTGAAGTGACTTGACTTGCCTAAGTAGGATCAATGGGAGTGCTGAGATTGGAAGCAAGTGTTTCCAGTTATCAGGCCTATTAAGGCATTTACCATAGTATTAAGTGTGGTATACCTAGTGCTTCATTCACTGAACCAGGTTACTACTTCTGATTGAATAGTCTGAATAATAGGATTGTGGGAGTTTGGTTTTCCCCATCTCTCCCAAAAGCTGTTGTATCAAGAAGTATTGGGCAGCTACATAAAGTGAAATATAACTGCAATAGTGTAGAAAAGCACAAGTGTGGGGCACAAGGCTAAACTGCCAAAACAGCATGGCTGATGTGGATACACTGCACCATTGGTCCGTACTATGGTGCAATCCCCATCAGTTCGGCTATCAATGGTTCTCTGGTGTAAAACACACCCTTTGAATGGCTCGCTGGGATTGATCATATTACCACAGTGATGCTGATTTTTACCTGACATGTGAGAATACTGCTTCTCTTTCATGAGTGGAACTCTCATCCTATAATGATGATGATTGGGCGTTGAGGGTGGGGGAGACTTGTGTTCAGATCCCTAGATCTAGATTAGGGTGACCAGATGTCCCAATTTTATAGGGACAGTCCCGATTTTGGGCCTTTTTCTTATATAGGTTCCTATTACCTCCCATCCCCGTCCCAATTGTTCACACTTGCAGTCTGGTCACCCTACCCTAGATACTTTTGAAAATCTTCTTTCCCTGTCTTCTTCCTCCCTCCCTCCCCCCCCCCCAAATTAATCTTTTTAATACTATTGAAGTTAGCCTGTTTAGGTGATCTTAAATTTTATTTCCCAGTTGCCAACTATACTATGTGAGTAAAAATCTTTATAATGTGGCTGTTATAAAAGTCTAGATCATGAAGACATTCCCTCTTTCATGGTGGTTCAGGGCCTTTTCAGTTTTGTTACACTAAAACAAGTGTGCAGAACATTAATCAGTCTAGTACAGTATCTTGACTCCAGCAGTAGCTAATACCGGACACTTAATGAAAGAGGAAGGTCCCATAAATGCACCTACCTGTGCAGTGCTTGGCATCCTTTCTTACTTCCCTAGGTGTTCAGCTTACATTCTGAAACATGTTAAGTGCTATCCAAGTTAAGATAATCTCCCAATAATACAGCCACATGTTGACTATACACTGCCTAAAATAAAAATGTGCTCATCTTTTGACCCAAGTTTACAGTTCTTTTTATAAGAATGTGGCCCTTCTTTTACCCATCAGTTTTCATTA